CCCCCCACATCTCCTGTTAGATTTGGACAGCCATATCCTCAGAATATACAGGGTCTTTTATTGCAATTTAACATCAAGATATAATGTTTCAAAGATAAATGTCACCATGCTATTAATCTGCCGGGCACTAAATTACACTAATGATACCAGAATATCACTAATTAATACTTTTAACCATAAAGCGACAATTCTGCCAGCCAAATGTGTATAGATTGAGCTGTTGAGTAATAATAAATAAAACTGGATTTACAGAGAAAGATGATGGAAATATAAAACGCATTTCCCTTCAGGTAAAAACACATTTGTAGTCATTTTCTGCTGATAATGACTGAGAGTTCAAAGAAGTTAATTCTGTTACAGGTGACAGTGTATTTTTTTCCCCCCAGTAAGACTTCTTTTGATGCTACTGCTCTCATAATTCGTGCCATGTGCAAACATAAATAACTCAGAAGAATAACGGTACACTAATATAACCCGCTCATCTTTGTTGATTATTATTATGCATCAGGCTTGTTGAGAAGGCTAAAGGCTTGATCTATACCACTTTGGAGAGGTAATTTTGATCAAGCTGTCAGCTGCTTCTTCTGCTCTTTAACCAGGTCACAGAGCAGTAGATCACAGCTTCATAGAGAGTTTATGTCAGGCATAACAGAGTGTTATTTATGTGGTATCCCCTGGCATTTTGCAGGAAATGTATTACATCTCCAACTGGCCCTATGTCAGCATTCCATTAAAGCTTCTTTTCCTCAGTCTAAATCTTAAAATCTGAAATAGACACACTTTAAAGGTAAGTCACTCTTAATTGAGGTCAGTTTCTGTGAACATAACTCATAGCAGCTGACAAATTAAGGTTTTTTCCGCTGGCTCGTGACACTGTGGGACGATATGGTGTATTCAAAGTGAATGCTAATGACAATCACAGCAGGAAAACTCATATTTCTGGAAATTTGAAGCTTCGATTTTAAAAAAATTTATTTTAGTAGTTTTTTGATATCTACCTTCTAATGTTATGAGCTGCAGAGCAGGGTTAGCGGTGGGGCACTAAATATAGGTCTAGACAGGCCATTTATTAGAAGCACCACGCCCACTTTTCTCACATGTTATAGGTGTCTGCTCTCTCTTCGTGTTAATAGCCTTCTGGGTGCTGCAGACAGCGATGTCGAAAGAGGACTTGTATATTTCTGGAGCGGGTGACAGATGTGGCTCCAACGTCCGAAAGTCACATTTCCTGGCCTCAAAAACCTCACCATCAACCCCCTACTTGATACTATGATTAGCACCATCACATCTCAGCTGGTGTTTTCACTAATGAAGCTGTTAATGGTGTGGCGATGATTGTCAGCCCTCTCATTTACTGTATACATCAACGTTTCAAGCAGTTCGTGTTTCAAGGGTGTGGAGTCCAGGCTGTCAGGCAGGCTAGAGCTATGTGCTGACATGTCACTCAAAATAAATCAGGCTTATCAAAGTGACAGGTGTTTGTCCACCTGCTATAAACATCTCCCACACCTCGCTCCTGCTCCATCTCTTCATAGATTATTTATAATGCTGCAGCCTCCATAGCCCAGCCCTGTTTACTCTCTTGCTGTGGCTCTAATATCAGGTCAGTGCTCTGCTGCTGATTTACTATACTAGTTAGCGAGGTGAGTAATGACCCGGGATGGTTTGGGAGGATAGTTTGTAATCAAAGGAGGTCAGAGATGCAAGCGATATTCTAACTGTAATTACAGCCCTGTGTACCCCTTTCACCCACATACACTGCAGCTGTCTGCCTCTCAGTGCTGCGTAAAAGAATCACCCCCCATCTCTTGCCAGCTCCTCTTTTACTGCCCTGAGTTAGATGCCCCTGGTTGTAATGACCCCACCTTTAAGTTGAGGTCCCATCTCAGTGTCAGGTCTTTATATAGCAGCAGTTTTCAAGACAGCCCTCCAGCAGTGGAAGTGAAGGCGTGAGGTTTGAATTACAAGAGCTTGCTGAGCTAACTGAGGCACTGGATAGCAGATTGTTGCCATCACTCCCATTTAGTGTCAGCTTTGGCATGTATCCAGGCTCGGGTCCTGCCAAGCTAACCTGAACTCATTTAGTGCCCAAAGTACACACAGAGGTATTCATCATTACACTGTGACAAGACCACATCTTCATAAGTAAGAACACTGCGGTAAGATTCACATTCAGATTGATTGATTCAGACATTTTAAGTTATTCAGTTTTACTGCTTTATATTTTTTGTATTCTTCTCTTCTCATCCTATTTATAATACAGTACGTATTATATAGAGGAAAATAAAGAGGCAATGAGATAAAATGTTATGGTGCCATTCATCCTCATATCCACATTATGAGGAAAACCCATGCACTACAAGGAGAATGTCTACAGGTGCATGACCTATCTGCTGTGAGGCAACTGAGCTAACCAGCCGGCACGATAAACAACTTAAATATGGTAATGTACTTTCAATTAATTCAATGTCCTCTCCATAGCTTCCACCTACAGGTCACATGATGCCCCCAAAACCATCCTGCTGAAGAGGGCCAGAAGTTCTAACTTCACAAAGCTAGACAGTAGAGCTATGACACTGTGTCATTACCAGTGTTGGGACTAACGCGTTATTAAGTAACGCGTTACAGTAACTACGTTATTA